ACAAGAAATCCATAAAATATTAAAGAGTTCTAAATTTCAAGAATTATTATAGACAATTAATAATACTTAAACAAATATTTATATATATGCACTTATATAATATAAGTCACAAAATTTTAAAGTAATTAAATTATATTAATATCGTACGATGTGACATGCATCATTGTTGTTGAGCCTATAAAGTTTGATATAATTTTAGTGTGATATATAATCTAATATATATAATAAAAAATTGCTAAGATGATATATTTTTCTATTGCAATAAGAATTACTCAAAATGACAATGCAACGTAGAATTTAATAATAATTTTAAATTCAAGAATACAAAGTATTTGGTGTCTGAATTAAATAAAATCGAATCTAAAATAAATTTAAAACGTAACACTTAATCAAAATAATTCAAAATAGTGTTACTATTAAATGTAATTTTACATCAAATATTTTAGACTAAAATATTAAGAATATATTATATAAAATAGTGCATAATTCTCAATTTAATTAACACATAATATTACATAAATTTCCAAAGAAATCTTCAATCTAAAATAAAATATATAATATTACAACAATGAAATATTCTTATACCGGTTATAAAAAAAATACTCTGCTCATAAATGAAATCATAATTTCTTTCCATAAATAAAAAGAATGTAAAAAATATAATATTAAACCAATCAAATATTTTTATACTGATTATAGAATATTCTTGTTAAAATGATAAGTAACTAATCAAATATTCTTTTAAAGAATAGCTCAAAATAATTATATATATGAAAATTTTGGACATGCGTAGAATTTAAATTAAATCAATCACTTAATAATATATTATATTAAGATATTGAAATAATGAAATATATCATGTCATCAAAACAAATCGAATATTAAATATTACTCTTTTCATCCTAAAATATAATAGAGGAAAAAAATAAATAATATATTTATTAAGAAAAATAAAAATATAATTATTTGACTATAGAAATAATGAGAGAGAAGTTACATTAAATACAATTTATATTTAATTTTAAATTAAAATAAGTGAAAAAACATTCTTTTGTTATATTTTAAAATAAAATATATATTTTTCTCTTATATTTTAGGACGGAGAAAAATTTATTTGACATAAACATAATAGAGAGTTGTTAAAATTTATATAATTCGAGGGAGCCTTCAGTTTTTTTTTTTTTGCCAACAAATATATAAGAATAGAAATATAGCATGTTTCAATTTTTTATTATAGTCACCAATTTTATTCAAGAAACGGTAAACAGAAAAATTATATTAACATATTATTTCACATAAGAATCTGATTTTAACATCATAACATCAAATTCATAGAATAAGAAATAAATAAAATAATTGGTGATTAATCAAAAGACTTTCATCTTACAATTAAAAATTGAAGTCAAATTAAACTAATATTATTACCGTGAGAATTTGATCACCTCAAGCACAACAAACTCTTTAGCACATATTCTCACAATTCAAGCTATCTATTTTCAAACACTATATTTTCGATCGCAACAACATCAAGATGTTACAAATGCAACATATATAAAATAAAGTACAAGGCATAAAATCAATTACACATTCGATAATGAGGTATATTTCAAGATTTTATGCAATGAAACAAGACATATACAGTGAGTGTAATTGGAAACTTAAACTAATTACTGAATCATAATATTCATACAATAGTCATAAAATGTATGTAGTAGGCTCTAATATGAATCGATGGATTTAAATTAAATCATAGAGATACAAATTATAATATATTATAATATTATAAAATAATTAATAATAAGAAGAACGATGTATCTTTTGAAATTAGAGAGACTTTCGTCAGAGAGTGCATATGAGAGGATTATTATTCTCATTATCGTTTAGGATATTCAGAGTATGTTAATCGTTTAATAGAATAACGCTTAAATAGTTAAACAGTTGAGGGTAAGAACTTCTCATTAGACTTAACTGAATGGTCTAACTCATCACGGTCTATTCAAACACAAAACTCAATCAAATAATTCATCAATAATTAATGTTTAATAACAATTGATCAAATTATAATTAATTATTAATTAATTATTTTAATCTGTATTTGATTAATTAAATGATTAATCTAACACATTCACCACAAAAATCACAATAAACTTTCAATTTAAAAACAATTTTAAAAAATGACGCAATACATAGAAAGAGGCAAGGTCCATTGAAACATCATTGATGCCATTAAGACAATCGTTACAACTCTGGAGACTCTAATAACTGAGATCAACTCCACAATTTCTAAGACTAAGTTTAGATTTAATATTTTTTTAGATCCAAGATTAATGTAAGAGGACTGTCTGCGCATATCATAGGAAAAGCGCACGTCAGAATGATTTGGCAGGATTGCACACGTTTGACGTTCGATATCAAAATTACTCATATTATACCTTTTCGGAAAGGAAATCGTCCCATAGACTCAGTGTTGTGCAGTGTTCTATGGTTTCTAAGCCATTTGAATTTGTTTCTGACCCGAAAATAACATTATACTATTTTCAATTTTATCAATTTATATTTTATTTATTTTATTTATTTAATTTTGTTTAGATTAAAGGCCCATTAGGGCTATTTTGTTTTATGTATTTAAAGACCTTTGTCATGACCATAAGGGTTATTTTTCATTATAATAGAATCCAAAGTTTTCTTTGTGCTGGTGGATTCCATGTCTCATCTGACAAGTTTTGAGCTTGCAACCCTGTGTTTTATAATAGGTTTTGCGCTTGCAAACATATTCTTTTTTTCTAGGTTTAGCGCTTGCTAATCACTAGGGCTTTCGACTGCGTCAGTTGGTATAAGAGCAGGTTTTTCCCTATTCTTTTCGTAACTTGACAACCATGGAGGATCAACCGGCAACCAAAGCAGATTTTGAGGGAATTGTTGCAGCTTTTACTGCGGCTCTTACTGTTTTGACTGGACAGATGGCGAATTTAGCAAATAAAGTGAAGAACGCCAACAACAACAGGAATCAGCGAAGAGACAGAAGAGGAGGACTTGTTAAGGATGGAAAACTTTCAGATAATCCAAATTTCGTTCTACATCCACCATCAAGAATGAATCAAACAATGTATCAAACAAGGACAATAAAATCATCAAACCTACATAAGTCATCTCCTTTCATTGATTTTTTTTCTCAGGTAAAAGTTTCTAGTTTACACACCTTGCAGAAAAGTCCACCTTGCAAACCTAAGAATAACATTCCTAAACTAAAAAATTTGAGACAATTCCTGTTGAAGAGACAAGGTCCAAAATTGTCAAAGGGACCGCAAAGAATACTGAAGTAAATTATGATGATGATGAATTTGATAAATATGAAGGAGAAACACAAGAGCATTTATGAAATGAGAGTCTCACAAACAATTGCAAAAATTAATTCGATGATAATGGTATTTCTTCTCAATTTGATTCTTGTACTGAAGTAAGTGAAGATTCTTTTACATTTGCAGTTGCTTTGAAATCTCAAGAGCAATGTCTTTTAAGTGAAAATTCAAAGCTACTAACCTTTGATATGTCTGTAAGCAATAGTGAAAATAATGACATGGATGAAAAGGTGGAACATTTGCAAATCAATGAGGTAAAAGATAAAAATCTTGATATGAATGTTTGTCATGTTTTACATGGTAGGTCTTGATAATTTGATAATGATATCACTTATCGAGGAAGTGATAACATGATGATGTTTACATGGGGTACACAAAATTGCTATGGATCTTGCTTTGCACTTTGATAAGAATCCAGGAAGAATTAAGTCTAGTTTCTTGATAATGACACAGAGTGAAAAGGAGCTTGATAAGGCTATTAAAAAATTGTTTTTTTATGTTCAGTATTGACTAAAGATGTGATGAGCGTTGTAAAGGAGAAAACAATTTCAAAAGAAGTGCTAGAGGTCCTAAAGAATTTCAAGGATAAACACATGAAAGTTAAAGTTTTCAATGTGGGAGAAGATGCGATGGCATTTCTGCAATAAGGAAAAGTTACTAGTTGGTACTTATAGCAAGCTTTGCAACCATATGAAACTCTTTATCAAGAAGAGAACTCGGAATCGAATTCTTTTGAAGTGAATGAGACTAATGTAAGAGGGTTGCATGCGCATATCAAAAGGAAAGCACGCGTCAGAACGATTCGACAGAATTTGCACAAGTTTAACATTCAATGTCAGAATTACTCATATTATACCTTTTCGAAAAGAGAATCAGTCCAGAAATTCAACTCATTACTTTGTAGTGATCTGTGAATTTTTAAGCCTTTTGAGTTTATTTTAGACCCAAAAATGACATTTTACCATTTTCAATAACTTTAACAATTTATATTTTTTTTATTTTATTTTATTTTAGATTAAAGGCCCACAAAGCCCATTAGAGTTTCTATGTTTTATATAATAAAGACTTTTGACATAACCATAAAGATTATCTTTCATCCTTATTATGGTGGATCCCAACTTATCTGTCAGGTTTGATTTTATGCTTGGAACCCTGTTCTTCTATTCTAGGTTTAGTGGTTGTGGTTTCAACCAGGATTTGGATACAAGGAGAGCAAGGAGTGGCTAAGCATGGGACCAGGTTTGTCTAGGTTTGCCTTCCGTCACCAAGGTCACATTCAGAATATTGGTAGCTAAGCGTGTCATGATCCAACGGACACTAATATTTCAAATGCATGAATGCGTGCGTAGTTGTTTGACTACAACGAATTCGATTTCAATAATCACCGATTTAAAAAATTACTAAATTACAATTTCATTTTTATGCATTATCCCTTCCTCATAAAACACGCCTTTCACTTCCATTCATTCCCCCAAATAATTCAAATATGCAGTTTAATTTGGTGGCCAGGCAACACGCCCAAAATTTCAAAGTAAAACATATTTCACAACCCACTCACTCATAAAGTACTTCGTCTGTAAAATACATACATAACAAAGCATTAAATCATTAGCCAAGAAACCAGTTAAGAGAGGGTGAAAGCTAATCATCATCCTCGAGAACACTTCGACGCCTCTGTATCTGAAAATGTAAATGGAAAAAAAAGTGAGTGGCGGTTAATAAGTAAACTGGTAAAAGAAAACAGAACAATGCTGCTGATTTTGTATAACTTACTGTAACTTTTGTTTGCTTTGCTGTTTGGCTGTTAATCTGCTCCAGCAGAGTTATGAGCCTTTCTTCAGTAACCTAAGAATTCCATTTAATAAGTGAGTCTTGGAAGATATCTTGATACAAAAATGCTTCATATGGACTAATTACCTAAAAGTCCGTGAGATGATATTTGTATATAAACAATGCAACAAATAACAATTCCAACTGTAAATTCTTGGTTTCAATTTTTGAAAGGAAAACATATAGAAAATCTACCTAAACAACTCATTCTCAACCAAGCTTTAGACTGCCAGCCTGATATCTTCTGACTTTCAGCATCTTATTGTCAAACAAGGATGTCATAATGACTACTCTATAGGTAGAATTATACTACTATTGTACAACTATTCATTCCAAGCCCAGTACCATATGCTTGAAACACACTCAAAAACCTGAGCGGTTAAGCATAACCCTACCCCAAAACCTAAAATGTATACCCACAGCCAACACGCTTTGCAATGCAAAGGCCATTCCCCTTCTCCGAAACTAGGTGCTTCAAGCCTGCTACTGATTCTGCCTTTGCGGTACTTCTACAAAGCCTCCATCTGAGTCGGCACTCCAGTATTTCAAGCACCAACTTCTGTTCAGATGAGTAGTAGGTTTTATTTACGGCATATATTTTTCTATTTTTCTAAGCAAAGAAATGAGATTCGTTGGACAGTTTTTGTTATGTGGGTTTGCAGTAAAAAGCCTTCCAGAGAACGAAAAAAAAGGTGTCAGTACTTTATGTTTCTTGTATTGTAATAGGAGTATAATTTAATTGTAATTTCTAATGCATAACATATGAGGTAAGATCTTAAGTTCGATGTTAAGACCTCATGTGTCTAGCTCCCTACTGTAGTATATGACTGAAAACTTTTCTATCAAGTTTCATTATAAACTAAATAGTAGGGTTTTACATGTAAGTTACAAACAAGATGAGAACATTAAACCTCTAAGATTGGAAAACCACGTTAGATCATAAGCAGAATTGTCACCAACATTTTTTATAAATCCTAGAAAGAGGACCTTTCTCAGACCAACGATTGATCAAACAAGAAGGTGGTATAAATAGAACCTCACGGATTGCATGACAATAGATGCAATAAAATATTACCAACAACTTGAGATAAGAATGAGAAAGGTTGCAGCAAAAGACAGTATCCAATATACCTTTTCAGCTATCTGACCCATTTGAGCAGCTCTCAATATAACATCTTCAACACCTTTTGCTTTCTCTGGTTTCACCAAAGCAATTCGAGCAACTGCACATAATTATATCATAAATTTAAAAGAGTGGAAGAAAGCCAATTCCGTGCAGCAAATACTTTAATGTATAATTTTTTTAAATGCAAATGTGATTTATCTTACCATGTCTACAAATAACTAAGTCAAATACACCTGTATCTTCCTACCTAAATAAGATTGAGCTAAAATAATTCCATCAAATCTCCAATCCTACTACATTGAGTACATTCATAAGTCAATTTATAACCTCCTACACCCCTTAATGCTATAAAGTGAAACAAGGATATGGACCAACCATAGTGTATCTATTCTGTGATCCAACCTGATATCCTCAGATGGTAACTACCTAGATAAGAATGTGCACACAGGGACAGAGAGAACAGATAATACAAGGAAAAATTGGAAGTAATTTCTGTTTATCAAACTACATGTATGAAGTATCAAAGACATCGCCAAGGTTACTTTGTTCTATTATTGGGTCAAAATCATCAGGTGAGTTGGAGACTCTATTTGAACTTTTCCAAGATAGCCTTCAGAATTGAGATGTACTTTGAGTAGAAACTACACTATTTATGCACAATGAGTACGTAGTAACACCACTAATATGCTTTATTCTTTGTCAATAAATTCTTGTGAAAGACATTAGTTATAGCAAGCAAGATTATACAAGCAAAACAGGTACTTTGTAATATCTTATATATTCTATTCTGACATATGATGTACGTTTTATGATTGAACAACTTCTATGAGTAAAGTTTGGTTTGACAAAATATCTTACAGAAGCCGGTGATACAATACAATATATGGAAGTTTAAGAAAATACTGCCAACTACATGCTATCAACTTGATATACTCGTTGAAGCTAGACAGAAGACATGATTGAAATATTAATTGCACAATGGCAAACTACATAGTTTTTTGTTCTATCTTCTGCCAGTAGTAAAAGTACAGGAAAACACACAGCCATGTTATTTTAAGACAATCACTAATCAGGCTAAGCTTTAAAAGGAAAAACAAGAATATTATAATAGATAAAAAAAAGTCAAATAACATCTAAGGAAAGATTGTTTGTTATATACTTACGTCTTTCTCGTGCCTCAGCTGACAGTATCTGACTAAGCATCATTTGTCTTCTTTCCTCTGCCTCCCTAGATTAATTATTTTCCCATTCAATTAACAAAAAATGTCATTCCAAAGAAAAAATACATGAGTGCATCAGAAAGATATACAGATGAACAAGTTCCTGAAATTAAATCTATGCAACTGAGTTGAATAATCAGCATAATAACAAATGTAAAAATCTACATGCATACACTAACCTCTTTGCATCCTCCTGAGCGCTCTGCTGTTCAGGGTTGGGTTGATTTCCCTGCAATATCAACATAATAACAAACAAAGTCTCACAATCTGCTGTAAAAGAAATGATAAACAAAACATAAGATAAACATAGCTAACCGCGCCATGCAGACCCATAAGCTCCTGCATCCTTCTCTGTCTGATTGCTTCCAGCTCAGGATCAGCCTGTAATAAGCAGCTAAGATATATAAACCGCAAACAAGTAACAATTATAATAAAAAATACCAAAAAAACAACATTACAGCAGAGAACCCTAACACGCAAAATTTGCTATTTTAATTATCCGAACAATTAAAGTAGTGCATAGAAAGCTCAAACGCGGCATGATTTTGAGCAGTAGAAAATTCTATTAACGCTTTTAATTCGATAATTGAAAAGTGCGCATGGTTATGTGTTTGATTCATGAAAAGATTGAATAATAAAGAAGGAAATGGAATGGGAAGTTACCATTTGGAAGGGTTAACAGAAGAAAGATACCCTAGCGGGTGTGTGAATGGGGGTTTTGGTTTTGCCTTTGATGTTTCTGCAGCAGCAAAAGCACCACCACAGATCGCGTTTGGAATAAGCGCTTGTTTACGAACCAAAAACTGTATTTCAATAAATTGATTATGTTATATACCCCCCTGCTTTTATTTATACAGCCTCTTTTCGTTTATTTTAGGGTAAGAAGTATCCCGACTAAAATACAGCAATTTCTCTTTGCACCCTATCACCTTTTCTCAAACCACGGCGAAAAATGAAAAATATCTCCTATTTTTTGTTGATATACTAGTATATCTTTAGATACATTAAATTTTATGTTTTATTAAAATTTAATTCGAAGATAAATTTTTAAATTTTTATTAAAGTTAATTTAAAAACGTATACACCCGATGAAACATGCAACTGAAGCTGATAATAATAATTATTGAATATATAAATAAGTAATTAAAAAATAATTTTAGTAGCGAATTGATAAGTAGAAAAGCAGAAATAAAACAAACAATCATTGACCCACCTAGAATCTGACCAACATGGTCTCATAGAAAGGATTTCATCCACGATGACCGTAACTAACATCTTCTTAAGTTTTCTGATCTTCACTCAATCACTTGAGGCAACAACCAATTCTAAACAGAAATGTTTTTCTGGAGATTACATGAGTGTTTCTTAACAAGCAGATTACTCCTAATTTTTGTACATATTGTTTGACACAATTCTGAGTAACAACTCTTATGTTCAAACAATTTACATGAAGAACTTAAGATATAACACAATTTGAACAACAACTCTTGTGTCTACATGATTCTACAAAGATGAATATAATCTAAGTTTGAGTGCAGCATCTTGTAGTCTTCTTGTCTTCATCTTCTTCGTTGAGCAAGTTATGAGCAATAACTCCTTGCTTCTTCATAATTCTTCCAAGATGTATTTGATAAGAATTTGAGTATCACCTTGTAAAATTATTCTTCTTCATCTTCTTTCTTTTAATGTTGTAAGATATTTTTTATTGAGAGTAACAATGTTATATGGACTTCGACATTGTCGTCTTTGTCAATTTGAATTTGAAACTTTAGTCTTCTTATATTTCCTTCAGATAAAAGAGTCGTTGTAAGGATAGAAAATTCTTTCCTCCTTCCAACGGATATATTCAAGAGAGGTTTAGAACAGTACGAATCGTCACTTTCATATACCTGCTCCTTGCAGTAGTTAGCATAAGATCGTGGGAGACAACTTTTGTGAATAGTATAACCAATATCATGATTGGTTTACAGTATTCTTCTTAACTAAGTTTCTTGACCTTTATCTTCTGATGATGTACTTTTGATTCTGAAGTATTTAAGCTTGGAAGAGATCAAACACTTGTCTTCGTTCTTCTGATGAATGACTAGTGAGTAGTTCAGAAACTATTTTGTTATTTTAGTATAGGAAGTAGGAACACCAGATAGGTCAGAACCAAATCTTGTCTTTAGAATTATGGGCAACAGTTTATCTGAAACACGAAGCTTTTCTTCTGATCTAGAACTAGTATTGAAGGCATATTTCTTATCTTATCTGAGAGATGAAGATTATGTTGAGAAGATATTTCATTTCAAAATTTTCAATAGTGGATTCTTGTCTTCAGAATGATTTACAACAACCTATCTGAGAAATAAGTCTTGTTGTTGTAGGCGAAAGCTTTTCTGATCTTGATATCAAAATCTTTTCTAATGATGAATCTTGTAACCAGATATTTAGACAACAACCTTTCTGATTAACTAGTCTTTGAATTCTTTGAGCTTTGACTCTTTTCTTTATAGATTGATTGATAATGATCCAGAAGATTCTTCTTTGTTATAGAGACAGAGTCTTTCAGATATTTGAACATTGTCTTCAGATATACAGGCAACAACTAATATGAGGAACAACTTCTTTAAGTGAAAGCTTTTCTAATCTATACGTCTTTGATCGGATCTTTGATTCCTTGATAACAGCTTTTTTGATCTGTATATCCGATGTCTGATTTTTGAAGCAGAAGCTTATATAAGTACATCTAATTTTGACGTTGAATTCTTCCTTTCTGATCTCCTTGAATTCTTATATTTGGATTGAGTTGAAAGCAACAACGATGTATGTCAGCTACATCTTGATTTTTGATCTTGAATTCTTTCTCTGCATATCTTGAGAGTGACGCTTTCCTGTGAACATACTTGATTCCCTTTCTGATGAACATTTAGCATTCCTTAGAACTGCTAATGTTTCTTTAGAGACGGTCACAATAGTTCTTCTAGTGAGTGCACTAATGTTCCTGATGATATTTGTCTTCTGGTAAATATTACTTCTTCTGATTAGATTTGACTTGAGAAGATATCATCCTTTGATCTTGTCTTCTGATGGACTTTGTGATGTTGATTAGAAATGAGTCCAAAAGATCATTCTTTCTTTGATCCTTTCTTCTAGTGGAATACTTCTGATGTTGAATATGAGTGTGTATTCCATGAACTATCTGAGTCTTCAGAATCTTGACTTTGTCTTCAGAACTATGAGTAGCAACTCTTCTGATGAACAAATCATGACTCCTGAACTTTGCGTTGGAAGCTTGAGTTCTTCTTAGAAACTCATTGAGATTCTTTTCTTGTGTAACATTGCATTCAACATAACTACTGATGTTACATTAGAAACAAAACTCAATAGTTATTCTTCTGAGTGTTTAAGGTGATTCTAATGATATTTTGATTAAGACTATCCATAATTTTAATATTTGCACACTCAATGAAACCATTAGTGCTAAAATTGTTTCTCATAAACTATATGCTTGTTATCATTAAAACACATAGATTAAACACATATCCAAATCTTGTTCTAACAATAATCCTAAGCTCCCATTTGCGGACTATGTTAGGTAGATATCCACTCCGAAGTAACAAGGAGACCAATATGTTTTAAGCCTGGTGACCAAAAAACATCACGCACAGGCAATCAACAAGGATAATCTTGAGGTTCAAAGACTTTAATGGTCGCCCTCAATCTATATCCTCAGAGAATTCCACAGTCTAACTAGATATCGGTGGGAAAATATAAAGTGGGGTACATCGGCACCTCATCCAACCAAAGAAGGCACTTTGAAGCGCGAAGGAAATTTAACCCAGAGCCCCTGGTAATGATAATGGCCAAAAAGACTCTAAACATTGTCTGACCACGCCAAAGTCTCCATTGAAGGTTTATCTATCTAGTTATTTCTAGTTATTTCATTATTTATTTGTAACTAATTCAATTCAATATATATATATATATATATATATATATATATATATATATATATATATATATATATATATATATATATATATATATATATATATATATATATATATATATATATATATATATATATATATATATATATATATATATATATATATATATATATATATATATATATATATATATATCATTTTTCTTCCTCTGTTGTATGCTTTTGTGTCTCTTTTTTCTGCTAGAATGCTCCAGAAATGGAAATGAAGATAAAATGCATGAATGTGTATCTGATAAAGACTAAACGTATTTTTGTGATTCTGATATGGCTTAAGTGTATTTCATGTCTAATTGTGTATTCCATATAGACTTAGCATTTTTAAAAACTTTTTCGATAAAGTACTTCACACAAACAATCAAGATAAAACAAACTAAGAAAGAAAAATGATACTTCTGGTTTATACAAGTTCGCTTATAACGAGGCTACATCTTGTCCACCCTACCAAGGTGATTTCACATTCAATAAGAACTTAATCCACTAATCTTGAAAGATTACAAATAATCATCTAAGGGTTAGAAAACACCTTAGCCCTCTCAAGTATACAAACTAACACTTAGTCACTTGAAGAACAGTAGAAATCAAAAGGAATTACAATAGAAGATGTTTACAATAGTGCTTCTTGATAAGCAAATATGAAACAAAACTAAGAACAAATTTTTAGACAAATACGAGCAACATTTCTTTGTGTTTGGGCTTTTTCTCTTCGTAGTATTTTGTAGTGTTTTCACGCTTGTGGTTCTTTGTATGTTGAAATGAAACAATGACTCCTTTATATAGGCTCAAGGTAGAACATAAGACGTCACTTTTAGTGCTAGCGGCCATAACGGTAATCCAAAAATCATGGGATACAGAAGCAGTAAAGTCTAAAAAATATTCCTTAACAAACTTGGACGCACAATCAGTTTTTACCAAATTAGGATTGTACTATTGTTCAAATACTTATAACACAAGTTGTCTTGACATTTATGTTCTGATGATATAATTATGACGTGAAGTGATGATGAGTTCATAACACATCACATTAGATGAGTGTACCAAAAAGTATCAGAGTTTTTAGAGTCACAGGCTGTCTTCACTCAAGTCTTTATTTATAATACTTCTGATAGATCCAGAGACTTGATTATCAGTAGATAGTAGACATGTTTTCAGAGTCCAGAGCCTTGACTTTAGAGCTGGAAGCAAAACTTATTTGAGAAGCACGCGAGATTCCTTTTCTAGAGGCATTCAACATTCATCAGAACTGCTAATGTTTCTTCAGATGCGAATATGGTAGTACTCTTGAGGCGTGCCAGAAATCTTTTTGATGATATTTCTAGACTCAGGTGAAGCTCTATATCTGCACACTAGCGAAAGTTATTAAAGTACAAAATTGTTACATATAAATATGTGCATTGTTATCATCAAGACTAAAGATTGTATTGCAGAACCAAATCTTGTTCTAATAATCTCCCCCTTTTTATGATGACAAAACCATGTATTTTGATAGAACAATGTGTACAAGATTAAACCATAAAAGAAGTATCAGTGTTAGTTAAGAAATCTCCCCCTAATATAAACAAGCTCCCCCTGAGTCTAAGGCTTAAGACTCTTAAGGCGTAAAGGATATCATAACGAATTTAACTTATCAAAGCCTGATTTAAGTATTTTTCATATCTTGATCCATAGGCTCTTTTCA